GTTTCTACAGTTTCTCTATCGAAAACAGATAATTTCATGACCTCGGATTCTTTGACATCGAGGCTTGTTGTTTCACGACAAAGATTCCTCCATCGTTTAAAACACTCGTTTGTACCGATTCTTTGAACAGCAACATAAAGATGATAAATACCAAAAGGTAATCAGAAAAATTAAAAATGTAAGTTCTTTTAATAAAAGATGATGTTATGCAGTAATAGATTTTTAAAAAATTAGAAATTATAATATGAGAGTTAAAATTTGTTATCCGATTAAGAAAGTGTGTTTAAGTACTGATATGTAGAATGTATTATTGAGCAAGTTTTGTATATGATAAAAAGGAAATTAATATGTTAAACAAATAAATTACATGTTTACTTTTTTGCATATTTTGCACTTATGTTTTTGATGTTTTCGTATTCTGGTTAGAAAAATAGGAATATTGGCAGCCATTGGATGGTCATGTAATGCATGAAGAGTTTTTTCCTAAGTATGTCATCACCCTACCGATGTACGAGAGGACGTGTTTCTGCTCTTTCAATCTCATTCATAATGACGTATTCCAAGACATTTTGCATACTAAACATGTAGAAAATAGGCTTTTTATTATAAGGTTTGGATTTAGAGCTTAAACTAGGTATAATTAAATCCACTAAGTTTAAACAAAAAAATCCTTTCTTGGTGTGCCGCAAATCTAGATGTGTCTCACAAAACTTAAAAGCTCTACGACTACAACTACCGAGCATATTTCAATATGTATTGAAGAAAAAAGTGTTCACAATATTTTTTATTTAAAACTCTATTGTAAAAATAATTGAACAGGTTTATAAACATATTGTGGTTTAGTTGATTTATTATTCAGCCCATATGTTTTGACCAAATATTGTCATCTCTTGACATTTTGCATCTTAAAAACAAAAATAAACAAGTTTTAGAAATAGAAAAAATTCGAGAAAAAAAACTTCCATGTTGAAACATTTTCCCAAATAAAACCTTCAACTTTTTTGTTTCCATATAATATCGCCAGTTGAAATATTTTTTCCAACTAAAACCTCCAATATAACCTTCAACTAATTAACTTTCCCTAAATAAAATTCGAGTCGTCAAATTTGAGCCTGAACAATGGTTGAATTTTGAAGATTAAATAAACGAGAAATATGTTATCAATGGCCATTTACTATTCGGAACGGAATTATAGTTGACCATTAGTCAACTATTGTTCGAGCTCAAGCCTAACAACTTGAAAGTTTATAAGCCAAAATTCATTAGTTTGAGGTCTTATAAGGGAACAACAAAAGTTGGAGGATTTATTTGGGAAAATTTTTTAATTTGAAGATTGTATATAGGAACAAAACTTTTTTGAAAGTTTGACTTAGAAAAATGTTTTAACTTGGCGGTTTTTTATGAGATTTTTCCATTAAAATGAAAAGTTGTTTGCATCTTGAGGAATCTAGTTTGTTAAAAAATAATTTTTTTTCTTCGGATGATATTTTCTCAAACTGTATGTACAAAACAATAAAAATCGTTTTCTCAATTAATAAGAGATCATACTTTATTTAGTTTCCAATATGCAAATTGAATTGGCTCCAAGAACCCAATGTGATATTCGATTGTGGTTGAGTAGCCAAAATATATCTCAACTCATAGCTTTCGACATAGTAAAGTATTTCATTAATAGTAAATTATAACAAGTAAATTTTTTTCTTAAAACTCTTTTAATGAACAAGGTTATATAGATATCATGATTTAGTTGATTTATGATAGATTCCTTGTCTTCTCACCATTTATTGATCTATAATAGCATATGTACATCCTAAGAGCGAAATAAACAAGTTCCAAAAATAATAGGTTAGCATATTCTTTACATTAAGATTGTTGAGTAATGTCATTTTGGTTCTCAAACCAAATTAAGAAAATGTAAGTGGAGTTATGTTTGAAAGATTAGTTAAGTTAACTAGTGGAATTGTTGTCAGGGCCGGCCCAAAGTTTTGTGATGCCTAAAGCCTACTAAAATTTGATGCTCATTTTACTAAAGAAAAAAACAAAAAAAATCTAAATTTTGCATAGTTCAAGATTTCGAACCCGCCACATTCAAGCTTTTGAAAAGACAAATACCACTGCACCACAAGATGTTTTTTTAATTATGACACCCGTAAAACTAAAAATAGATTTTGTTGCCTAAAGCACCTGCTTGTTGGGCTTTAGGTCTGAATCGACCCTGGTTGTTGTAATAGTATTCTAGTGATACTTGAAGTTGCTTGTAAGACTAAGCTATGTCTTAGAGTTGAATGAGAGTTGTTGTGTAATGGTTAGTAGAGTTACTATTGTCATGTCTATAAATGTGAGCTTGTATGATTGTGAACATTGATGTGGTGTAATGAAATGAGTTTGTTATAAGTCTTTTTATTTAATGTTCTCAAATATTTTCAAAACAAACACTAAGTATAGAACCAGACCGTGTAATGAAGAAAAGCTTTCAAAATGATCAAGGCAATTAAAATAACAAAGATCAAATAAAGAATTTCATACTACAAATCTGCATTTAAAGAGAAGACTATATTAAACATACTCATTAAGAAGATGTGACATCATTAAGAGAGATTATACTCTATATTTGTGAATTTGTCCCTAGGATTCATATACATCATAATCTAATGTTAACACTCCAATGCGATTGATGATTTTAAAACTTCAAAACATTAAAGCAACAAGGAAATTGGGCTATCAATCATAGAGTGACTTTTTAATTAATGTCTGGTTGACAAAAAAATTAAAGCAACAATGAAATTTGACCATCCAACAACGAGAATGTGTGTACAAGAGATTTACAAAATTGAAACTTTTTTTAATTATTTTCAATTAATAAAATATCAAACTTTTTGTAGTACTCTAATTTGCAAATTGAATTCGCTATGAGCATCCAATGATAGTGATATTTAATTGTGGTTAAGTAAGTAAAATACATCTCAACTAATATACTTTGACATACCTGAGTATTTCATTAGTGGTGTTCTAAAATTCTTCTGTCGTGGTGTTTACTATTTTTTCCATATTACTGTAAAGATAACACTTTAGAAAATGAAAAGTTGGTAGTTAATGATAAAAACTTACCTATGCAAAAAATAGATTTAACTTTATTCTTGAATCACATAAGAGAGATGAAAACATGTATCTTTGCACTAGTTGATTTGCTCTTGTAATGTGGAGATTACTAAATTTTTCTTTATTAACAACCTCGAGCATTCAATAAAAAATCCTCAACACTAAGATTGTGAGAAAAGATTGGAATTTTCAGTGGGCTGTGCAAACAAATTTATAACCCTAATTAGCGCAACTATTATGTAATCTCTAGGCATAGGAGTTCGGGTTCAGTTTGGGTTTTCGGGTTTAAGCCTCTAAGTTCCTTTTTTTTTTTTTTTTGTGAAACAAGCCTCTAAGTTCCATTCGAATATTTTATATATCCGGTTTGGGTTACTTCGATGCGTGTTCGAATATCCGAAATATCAAAAAAATTTAAAAAAATTGGTTAGATTTGAAAAACCTTTGGTTAAATTTTGAATATATATATACTAAGAATGTTTGGATATGAAATATGTAGTAATATTGAGACCAACTTTCCGGAACTCTAGAGCGAGAACAGAGACTAAGTCAAATACGACTATCTAGAGCTTAAAATATGTAAAACGCACAAATATCTATCTTTCACTCGGACAAGTCTTTTCTTCATATCCTGTATTCCTGTCATTAGACAAATACGACTTTTCTCCAATTTGGTCTTGAAGAAGAAGCGTGAGGAAAGAGTTATCGGTGTGTTTACTTATGCCCAAAGTTAGGTCCGGTTGTGGGCCAGGTGGATAGTAATGGCAGAGCA